AAAAATTCCCAACAGGCCGGGCATTGGTGGCGCACACCTTTAATCCCAGCACTCGGGAGGCAGAGGCAGGCGGATCTCTGTGAGTTCGAGGCCAGCCTGGTCTACGAAGTGAGTTCCAGGACAGCCTCCAAAGCTACAGAGAAACCCTGTCTCGAAAAACCAAAAAAAAAAAGAAAAAAATTCCCAACAGTATACTTCCCTTTCTAATATTCAAAAATTTTAGTCAAAGACTGATTTCATAGAGGAGGGCCTTAAAGAGCAGAGGAAACTGACAAATCAGCAGAAAGGAACCTTTTCTTCAGGTCACAGATTCAAAACTTTAAAGGATAAAGCCAGGCATGATGGCACATGCTTATAATCCTAGGAGGTGGAAATAGAAGGATCTGGAGTTTGAGGCTAACCTGGGTTGCATATGGAGCTATGAAGGCCAATCTAGGATAAACGGCAAGTGCCTATCTCAAGAAAAGGGAGAAGGGTTACATTATCAGGTTGCAAGTTAATTACACATAGGAGGCTAATATCACTGATCTTAAAAAGCTTTCCCTGCACTAACTATTCTTTGTATCTTCTAACTTTACAATTCTCTGAGGTTCTACATTTGTACAGTTTTCTCCCATCCTCTTCCTGGAGCCTGACTCACTCTCCTCAATTTGGTCTTGGAATGACCTAAGTCTTAGCCAGACAGACACACCTTAGAGTTTACTCAGAAATCTACAGACTTTTGGGCCAAGACCAGCAGCCAACATTTAAGAGTTCAGAAAGAGTCTCTGTGGCACAATGCAAAAGACATGGGCTATGGAGACAGACAGGTTTAAATACTACCTCTGCCTCTTTGTAGATGTATAACCCTGGGCAAGGCACTAAGCCTCTCTGAACCACATTTCCTCATCAGTAAAACTGAGACAATGCCATCTATATTTCATAATGTTCTTGTCAGGATTACAGAAATACCTATGACAATTCCTGGCACATAAAAGGCCAATTAATGGTAACTATTTTAGGGTCCAACTGCCAATTGCCTTACTGAACATTTTGCCAGTCTGTGCTTTTCTAACCGGCAAGGGAGTCACACTGCCCTCACATTCCCATGCCTCTGTCCAAAACACTCCGTTTCAGTAATCTATAATTAACTGAACCGAGAGCTTAAACAATTCAGGGCAAGAAAGCGCTAACATGGCTCAACTCATTCTCTTCTGACAGCAGCAAAGCAAGTACAATACAGATATGTTTGCCAAGAAAAACATGGAGTCTGTCTGAGCACGGCCATTACCGACAGTAGCATAAGCACACACCAGTTGGGTTCTTAAGACTTGTAGCCTTACTGTCAGGGAGCCTTACTGTCAGGGAGGACTACTTTTCAGAAGTCCTCTTTAGCTTGTTTTCTCTACTGTACTAGCACCCGTTCTAAGAACACATGGAAGAAATGCTCTCAACTGCTGTCCCATTCACTCACGGTGGAACTTATCTCCCATCCTATAAATCACTACTTCAAAGATGTTTACTGAGTTCACTTAGAGTAGGCTTATGAAGAAGAACTTTATATACAAATATATCATAACCACAATGACAGTATCTGGTCTATAGAGTACCACAAGCTACAGGATGAAGGCAGGTGCCAAAGGTAAAATGTGACCAAGTAACCTGCACCCCATCATGTTTATTCTTATGCCTATTGAACTTGGGAAGTCTGACTCTATCTACTTCCCTTCTGTGGCTGACTAAAGTAACAGAACCAAGAAAATTGATAACTGATCCACAAATGGAAACCATCAATGGAAATGCAATAACATAAATAAGATTGTCTGGTAGTTACAAAATAAGAGCAACCATCGCCATCTACATAGTTAAAGGCAACTATTTTAATCCTAGTATACCCAGTCCCTCCACACACTTTCTTTTTTTTTTTTAATTTATTGTGTATATATACAGTCTTCTGTCTGCACACCAGCAGAGGGCACCAGATCTCATTCAAGGTGGTTGTGAGCCACCATGTGGTTGCCAGGAATTGAACTCAGGACCTCTGGAAGAACAGTCAGTGCTCTTAACCGTTGAGCCATCTCTCCAGCTCCCCTCCACATGCTTTCAATAAAATAGAAGGGATACAAGGACAGAATGACTTAATTAGACAATCAAAGAAGCAAGAAAGGCTCAATAAATCAAAACATCTCATGACTGGTTCCTTGTTGAATGATTTTCTACTTGGATAAAATATAGTCAATTCAATATTAAGAAAACTAAACACTGTGCTCTTTAAAAACAGCAAGCCAAATGTGATGGTACACACTTCAGATCCCAGCACATAGGAAGTTGAGGTAGAAGGATCATGAGTTCAAAGCCAGTCTGCTTGGCTGGCCTCAAACTCAGTGTACAGCCAAGGAAGACCCTGAAGTTAGATCTTCCTGCCTCTGCCTCCCCAGCATTGGGATTACAGGAATGCACCACCATGCCTGGTTTATATGGTACTGTGGATCAGACTTAGAACTTCGTGCCTGCTAGGCAACCACATCTATAGCCTCTGAGACCTTATCTTGAGAGGAAGAGGGAAAGGGAGAGACAGAGACAGAGAGAGACAGAGACAGAGAGAGACAGAGAGAGACATAGACAGAGAGACAGAGACAGAGACACACAGAGAGAAGTTCTGGCCAGGCATGGCGGCACACGCCTGCAATCTCATGCTCAGGGGGCTGAGGCAGGATCCTATGTTATAGAGGACAGCCTCAGCTACACTGTTCCAGGCAGCTTGGGCTATAGATTGAGACCCTAACAAGAAAAAAGGAGGTGGCAGAGTGAGAGAGAAAGGAAGGAGTGAGCTAAACTCAGCAATATCCTTACTTCTGTCATACAGCTGCATCCTTGCCCAAGACTTCACCTGCTAAACTTTCAGCAAATAAGATGGTTTCTGATGTGATTAACACTGGAAGGCAAGTTCAGCCCTGTCTTCATAGCTTTGAGGCTGCTGAGTAAATCTAAAATCATGGAACATGATTTTGATACTGGAGGTAAAAAAAAAAAAAAAAGGTGGCTCAGCAACAATAAAAATGTCAAAGTGCACATTTAGAATTAAGAAAACCAGACTTGCCGGGCATTGGTGACACATGCCTTTAGTTCACTTGGGAAGCAGAGGAGGGTGGATTTCTGTAAGTTCGAGGCCAGCATCAACTACAGATCGAGTTCCAGGACAGGCTCCAAAGTTACACAGAGAAACCCTGTTTCACAAAAACCAAAGAGAAAACAGAGAGAGAGAGAGAGAGAGAGAGAGAGAGACAGAGAGACAGAGAGACAGAGAGAGAGAGAGAGACAGAGAGAGAGAGAGACAGAGAGAGAGAGAACCAGACTCTGGGGTGATGGCCTGTGGGTTTTTAAACTTCTTTATGCAGAATATATTGAATTATTGCCAATATGTATACATTTCAGAGAAGGTCACAGGGTCTTACTTGAGCCTTGAGAGAAATAACCAATTTTAATAACAGCTATCATTCAAGATTCTATTATAGGTACCAACTTCTACGCGCAGACCACATTTTTAATCCTTAAGTATAATATGTACCCTCATTTTACAGAAGAAATGACTTACTAGGGGAAGGGGCACTATATTCAAACCAGGCCTATATCTGAGTGTAAGCTTCACACTCTAACAGTAATTTATTAAACATTTTTACCCTTAAAAGAACTGAACTAGAAAGTTTAGAAAAAATAACCACAAGAAAAAGATCCGGCCAAAGTACAAAGCATGTTAATTAGTGAGAAATATGCTTTGGATTTCCTAACTTTTACCTAAGTACTTCCAGCCCTAGCCGAGGTTGCCTCTTTTAACTGCAATTCCTCCATTTAGCTATAATTGCAGGGAGGAGGTGGGGGAGAGGCACAACCCAACGCTGAGAGGGACACCAAATAGCTAAGGACAGACAAAGCATGTCCGAAAGCACTGCGAAAATTCCTTTAGTCTTGTCTCTGACTTCATGTATCACCACATGTGAGAAAAAGCTGCCTGCTCTAAGTCATGAGGTAATTACAACAATTTTTTTTTGCTGGATCCAAGATTCACCTAAACCCTACAAAATAAACCCAATGTAGACTTCATATCCTCCCTATTGTTGTTCTGACAGAACAAAATGAACTCACTATAATGGAGAAAAAATATAAATCTGTGTTCATAGTGTGTCTAGGAAATTAAAGCCATCATTCTTTTTAGATGATCCATATCTCTTGTCTTTTTCCTCCTGTGCTCACTTAGCATGGAGAAAGGGGAGAAAAAACGAGGAGGGGGTAAAGGACAGTCAATGCATAAGTAATATGGGGTACTATCATTACACATTACTATACACGAAAGAAGCTGACAGCCGAGACAGGCTCCAAATGATCGCTTTCCCAAAAGTAGCAGCATTTCTTCCTAGCTCTTGCTCACAATAAATGAAAGAAGCATTCTCTTCATACACCATCTAGTGATTCTGGTGGCCAGACCTCTTAAGAGTGAGGCATCTCTCCATCACCCTTCAACAGTCACGGTGCAAGGAAATGCGGGGACACAGGATCAGCCCTGCCCTGTGGAAAGCTGCTGGCCACAGAAAGGCAGAAGTCATCATCTGTACGGGAGCCAGACCACTCTCTCGAGCCCCAACTACTGCTTCCTCGTTCCCCAAGAAAAAAGATCTTGCTATCCTTATCGCTGGAGGGAAGGTTTTTCTACGCCGCCGAACAGTCCGGAAAATTACACGCGGGAGTGTGCTGGAGGCGGGGGGGTGTAGTAGTAGCTGCCTCTCCTCCCCCTGCCTCGTCCAAGTAGTAGCGAAGAGCGCTACCTCCATGTTATCCGTAGCGAAGTACGGCCGTGGTACCTGGAAGCTCCGGTCCCCCGCGGAGCACCGGGTGGCGGCCTCTCGGAGAGCCGGCTCCGGGGGGAAAGGGCTCTCGGCTCCCCGATCTAGAGGGCGTGGAAGTGGGTGCCGCCGCTCCCCTGCCCGCCCTCCCCGCCTCTCCGAGAGGCAGCCCGACCACAGTACCTTCTTGACCGTGCGCGGCGCCTCGGTGACCGTGCCGTCGGGGCTGACCAGGGCCTCGCCGCCGTCGCGATGCCGCTGGTGCTGATGATGCGGGTCACTCCGCTTCATGGCCGACGCTTGAGGCACCTTCCCGGCCGCAGGGCTGAGAGCCGCGGTGGGCCCCGAGCCCGGGCCGGGGGCCGGGGGGGCCGCTCCGCTGCCGGAGCGGGAGCCTCTGGGTCGCCGCCACCCGCCGGGGGTACCATGGCGCCCACGGCCGCCGTGCTCAGTCCTAGCTGGGGCTCCGCCTCGGAGGGGCTCAGATCCTTCAGCTCCACCTCAGGCACCTTGGCGGCAGCCGCTGCCGACACAACCTGCACCGACATCACCGCCTCCACTGCAACCGCCAGCTCCGACTCCAGCGCCAGCTCCCACTCGGCCCCGCCTCCCGCCTCCCTTCCCCTTCCCTCCCCCATACCCCCACTCCTCCCCTCCATCGCCTCCGCTCCCACCCCCTTCCTCCGCCCGCTCGCTCGCCACCAGCCCGGCCCCTCCAGCTCCGCCCCACCCCTGTCTGACTCACAGGCGCGAGGCGCCACGGAACCTGTAGTACGCTTGCTCGGGGCTGCACGTGGCTAGCAGACTGTGGGACCTCAGCACCCAGCCTGCACTGCGCGCGCGGGGCGGGAGGGGGGGAGGGCAGGCCGCAGAGCTCCCTGGGAGTTGTAGTCCCTTCGGCCTTCCTCTGGAAAGTAGTTTTCCGTGGAGAGGGAACTCCCGGGACAGCGACTAACGGAAAAGTATAAAAACGGAAGACGCGAAGGAATAGATGAGGAAAGCGTCTCAAGAGGGGCTGTGGTATCCGGAAGGGGATTCCAGAAACCCCAGGGAAAGTAGGGGAAGAATGACTCGCTCCCCTGACGGCGTGAATTTCCTCCGGAGCGTGCGCATGTGCGTGATCACGTGGGCGGCCTTTAAAGGAAAAGCGGCACGTCATGTGAGGAGAACGCCGGCTCCGGGCAGGCAGGCATGGTTTGTCCTCCTTTGAAGCTGGCTCTCCAAAGCCTCTCCTCAGTGACTTGGTTTCTAGAAGAAATGAAACAAGCCATTGCCTGCCGTGATGATTTCTGGCATATTCTGAGTTAAGGAGCTAGAGTCAGCCCCCAAAGGAAGAAATTTCCTCAGGGTGTGGTGGAGCACGCAGTAATATGAGCCCTTGAACATCTGAAGCAAATACATCACCAGGAGTTCAAGGCCGGCAAGCCTGAGCTAAGAAGCAAGATCCTGCTTTAAAGGAAAATAAATTTCCATTAGTTTGACATTTCAGTGCTGAAAATTAGCACATTGCTTTTAAATGAGGCCAAATCTTGACCTATTAACTCTCTAGAAATAATCAGAAATTCAGATACACATGTTGCATAGCAGAATATTAATCCAAATAGTGATTTTCCCAAATGATTGACTTTATTTTTCTACTTTGCACTTAGAGAGTGTGAGAGAGACATTTACAGAATTTTTATTTGGTTAGACGAGGTCTCGCCGTCTGTCTGTTTCTAGCTGGCCTAGAACTCTCTTAAGTACATTTGGCCTGGCTTTGAATTCACAAGAGTTCCGACTGCCACTGCTTCCCGGGTGCTGGAGTGCTGGAGTTAGAAGACATGTGTCACCCACACTTTGAGAACTTCTGAGGCGTGCACGCACGTGTGTGTGTGTGTGTGTGTGTGTGTGTGTGTGTGTGTGTATGTGCACGCGGGCCTTATGCCATGGTGCACATATAGAAGTCAAAGACATCTTTGTGGAGTGTGTTGTCTTCCTACCTTTGTGTGGATTCCAGATAACTGAATTCAGGTAGTTAGACTTGGAGGGCAAGTGCTTTTTTGTTTGTTTGTTTGTTTTTCGAGACGGGGTTTCTCTGTGGCTTTGGAGGCTGTCCCGGAACTTGCTCTGTAGACCAGGCTAGTCTTGAACTCACAGAGATCCGCCTGCCTCTGCCTCCCGAAGGCTGGGATTAAAGCTGTGCCGCACCACCCGGCGAGGGCAAGTGCTTTTAATGGTGAGGTCATTTTGCTGATCCAGTCTCATTTTTCTATCTAACATTTCTCTAGATTACCTCTTTTGTTGTTTTATGTGTGTTAGTGTTTTGCTTGTACCACATGGGTGCCTGGTGCCAGCTGAAATCAGAGGAAGGCTTTAGGTCCCCCCAGGGACCTACAGACTGTTGTGAGATGATATGCTGGTACTGGGAATCGAGCCAGGATCCTCTGAAAAACAACAATATCTCTTAACCACTGAGCCAGATCACCAGCCTCCAGTTTTATTTTTAATAAAAAATTAAAATTGTCTACCTAAGGGGGCAGGTCATAGTGGTAATCCTAGCACTCAGGGTATTAGGAATTTGTCAAGGTTGGTCTTAACTACTTAGCAAAACCCTGTATTAAAAATAAGAAAGAAATGTATTGGAAACTAATTTTCTGTTGATGTTTTTCCTTTTAAGAATTTCCCACTTGGGAGATAGGCTGGCAGATCTCTATGAGTTTGAAGTCAACCTGGTCTACAGAGTGAGTTCCAGGACAACCAGGACTACACAGAGAAACTCTGTTAAAAAAATAATAATTGTTTTCCAATAATATTTTAATGATAAAGGGAAATAAATGTTCATGACTAAAAGTTAGACTAAAATCCAGGCATAGAGGCAGAGGCAAAAGAATCTGAGTTCGAGGCCAACCTGGACTACAGAGCAAGTTCTGGGAGAGAACTGCACAAAGAAACCGTGTCTCAAAAAACAAACAAATTAGACTAAAAAGCAGGAGACAATACTGCACATCCTAGGGGTTAGAGAGCTGGTTCAGAACTTATACACCATTGCTGATGTCTGTTTCCAACACGCAGTTTGGGCAGTTCACAGCCTCTTGTAACTCCAGCTCCAGGGAATCTGACACCCTCTTCTGGCAACACACACACACACACACACACACACACACACACAAACTCCATTTTAAATTGCACATTCTTTGAGATTTTATGTGAGATTTTATGTTCAGGAGTGGGATCATGAATTTCCACGCAAAATAACAAAAGCTTTAAAGGAATTTTAGAAACAGAAGAACAGAGAGAAGCACAGAATTTTGGTAGCAGCATTTTCTCAGGTGTGCTCTGTTTTGCTAGCAACAAGCCGAGATTCAAGCAGCTCGCTTACTGGAGTCTTCCTGACTCAGCATAAAAAGAAAAAAAAAACAGCAAGGTTGTTTTAAGAGATTCTGATACCAATTGAAAGGGGTGTACGTACAGCTGGAAGTGGCAGCTTTTGCTGGAGGTCAGCATGGACTGAGGCGGTAAGCTGGAATCACGCTTACGCCCGCCATCTTGAAACAGCAGTTTAAAACAGCCGCGGTTTTACAGATAAGACACGTGGCCAGAAAAACATAAAGATTTACAGTAAAGTCAGACTTGGATAAAGAAAAACTTCTAAAGGTTTACAGTGTGTTTAAAAATATATGTGAGATTGAGAGAGAAACTGAAACGACAAAGTGGTAAATAAATACAAAAGCCGGCGTTGTGGTGGCGCACGCCGGTAGGATTGCTCCAGAGGCAGAGGCAGGCAGGTTTCCAAAGAGAAACCCTGTCTCAGAGAAAAATAAATAAAAGTGAAAGAAATAAAGTAATAATAGATAAATAAATAAGCCACGTAAAGATGGAAAATACACAGAGAGTCTGGATACTGTACGCTATTATGTTTTTCAGTTTTTTCATTGCTAAGGAAGGAACAGCTACTGAAGTACACTTGATTATAAATGCTGCTGAATTAATCCAACTTCTATCTTTTAAAAATGCCTTGACTTCAAAATTTAAGTATAAGGATATGTTACTTGGGAAAGGAGATTTTGCTTATGTTTCCACAGAAAATGAAAAGCTGAGGATTCTTTCCAGACTTCTGTGGTTTGACGAACCAAGACCCCCGGAAGCAGTGGACCAGGTGTTCCAACAATTGAAACAGCTAAGATGATGCAGTCTTACAGACCCCGAAAATATGGACTTATACAGGTTTCTGAGATTTGTCATGATCCCCATGGTGTGAACAGCGCCCCCTTCCAGCAGGAAGCAGTTTGGAATGAGCGACGTCCTAATTCCCATCTTGTTTATAAATCTTTGTTTTCATTTAAATGGGATTGTTAATAATTGGCTAGTGATCACAGCCAATCCTTTTTTAATGGTAAAAAGGGGAATTATGGTATGGGTATTGTTTTTCATTTATGGATACAAATTCAAGGTTAATTTTGTGATGCTTATATTTCTCCTCTTGATTAAGTATTGTGCTTATACTGTTCTTTTAAAACATAATACATAATTGAATACAGACTATAGATAGTTACTTATAATGGAATTTATAGTTAGGTAAGTTAGGTTTTCTAGATATACAGAAATATATTTGAGATAGATAGACAGTCTTCAAACCTTTCAAAGACCTTCAGAAAGTGGCATTTAAAATGGTCTAGGGTTTTTCTTGACAATGAGAAATGTCTGCTCCTGGCAGCACCAATTATGTCTGAGAGGAAAATGGGCATCGAAGAAACTCGTTATGGAGTTTGCTTTCAACATGGCAATATTAGCCATTTGGGCAAGAAACTGCTCTTGCCTAGACTGTTTGACTGTTGTTGTATAATCTGGACATGCAGGACCCACAGAAAAGTGACTGCTGAACTCAGTCTTACAGGGTTCCTGCTTCATGGAAGAGTCTAGGAGACTTTCTGCAGGACAAAGAAAAATGACTGACAGACTGCCAACGCAGATGGACAGTTTGAAATTTCCTGCTTTGCTGAGAAGTGTTCCAGACACATTGTGGCCTATGAGCTGAAGATGGATGCCCCAACGTTACAGAGGAACTTAAGGTGACTGTCCAGGCAGTAAGATACCTCTGTCAATCCTAGTGATTATATATCATCCTTCTGTGGTCTTTGATGGAGTTGAAGACAGATAGCTATAATTATAGTTTTCCTTAGTTATGATAAGAGATAAGCTATATATAGAACTTTGGACTCACAGGAATGAGATAGATGATATTTTCTTTAAATCTTGCTAAAATATTGTAACTATGTTCTTATTTGATAACTGTTCTGTTATATACAATTTGACTGTGTTAAAGTTAAGACCTTTCTTTTTGTTTAAACAGAAAAGAGGAGATGTTGGGGAAGTCCTGTTATTTGCCTGTGCATTTGTCAATAAAGTACTGCTGGCCAATAGGAATCTAGATAGGTGGGGCTAGGAATCCAGGAGGATTCTGGGTAGGAGAAACACAAGAGAGTTCGAGATGTGACGCCATGGGGAAGGAAGCCGGGAACTATTCTCCGGTAAGAGACATACTTAGATTAACAATTATGGGGTAATTACTTAAGGCAGAGCTAGCCAGTAAGAGACAAGCAAGGCCAACAGCTTCATAATTAA